AAAAAATTAATTTACAATACAGTTTAGAATGATATGACAATTATTTGTTTAGCATATCTATTGAGTACTCAGTAGTAGGAATGCAAAATGAAAATAATGATTCTATTTCGTATGATGTCTGGCTAATATATATATATACATAATATAATAATGGAAACTCTTAACAAGTAGAAGAATAGATAAGTACGACAAAAAATTGTACAAGTATGTGATTGTGATTAGACTATAATTGAAATAATGAATATATATATATATAGTGAAAAAGTATAAATTTTTCTTTTTTTTTATTTGTATATAATATAAACATGACATTGAAAAAATTTTCACTGCGATATTATGAATGAATTTCCTTTGAACAAACCTATTATGCCAAATAAAAAAACCACAACATTTTAGTTGGATTCGTACAAAAAAACATAAAAGACGGACAACTTTTTTCTATCCAAGCCAAAAAAAAGGCTGAATGATAAATATGTATAGTTTCATACTGCAGTCATGTGTAGAGAAAAACGATTTTACCAATAAGATTTTGTGTGACTGATAAATGGAATGGCTACGTCTAAAGTTATTTTTGTTTACATTTTTTTTTTTTCTTTCAGCTTTGATAGCGAATCTTCGATTTACTTAGAAAAAAAAAAAAAAAGCAAAGAAATAAAACAGATTGTCAAAATGTCTTTATGTAGTTCATTCATATGTATCTAACTTTGTAAGCTATGAAACTAGTTTTATCAATGAAGCACTAAAAATATTGAAAATAAATTCAAAGTATATAATTCATTTATTACCTCCTTATAATATTCTGGTCAATAAAAAATTAGTTTTTTTACATCAGTTCATCACGATTCTAGTATAGCGTCAATAGTTATTTATGAAAATAATTTACTTGTACTTTGAAACTATCACAAGGTCTAAAAATCACTGTTTGTGAAACTCTGAAACAGAAAATCATAGGAAATTTGATAAAAGATATTCTAAAAAAAATTCCAGAATCCAATATCTTGTACAAATAATAATTGATCTGAAAAGAGTATTAAAAATTTTTCGTAAGTATTTTATCAATAGCATTTCCTAATAAGGATTTTTATTTTTTAATTCATGCTTTTTATATTATATTCTTAATTTTGTTTGGATTGCACAAAAATTTGTACCTATTAAAGTAACCACAACTTAAATACCAATACCAGCACAAGAAAATACAAATTTAATCCCTTGATTCTCAGACCTGCAAAGCTTAAGAGAGTAGGTACACAAGACTCATTATAAAAAAAATATAATTTGCAAACATTTTTCCTCATATAGTTTGATTTATTTATACTTTTGAGCGTCAACGTTTTTTCTTTTACAATATTTCTTATGTATTTTTATGTGGTAGTTGAATTAATCAATGTTGGAAAAAGAAAAAGAAAAAAAAAATTGAATAAAACCAAAAATGTAATGTGCAGTGATTTCAATTCAGTTTATTTCACAGGCAACAAGCTAAAATATTTTCAGCAATGATTGCAATGAAACAAACCAGCAAGGATACCAATGCAATAATAATTAAAGCACACGAGAGTTAATGGCGCATCTTAAGAAAAGCAAACGGCTGATAATAAGCTAACCAGATATAAATAGATTTATACCAAAAGCATATACAAATGGGAAAAAAAATGTATCTATTATATATTATTGAGTTAAAGTACCTATCATGGCACTCCAGAAACCTCTATCAACTCATGTAAATACGAAATGTAAATAAAATCACCAAAACCATGAAATGATACTTTTGTATATAAATATATACAGGCTATTCCAAAAGAGGTTTCGACTATTTGAAAATAATTAATACAATGATATATGAGCAAAAGTACATGAAAAAAAAAAAAGAAAAAAAAAACCTGAACAAACAAATAATAAGATGAAAAAGCATTATTTTAACGTTTTTACGTTGATGTATTTGTATTAAATGCCATATGTAAAGCATCAACTCAAGCACTAAGTCGATTAAAGGTGAGTAAAAAAAAATATTCAGTACCTTTCATCTTTCTTTGAAAAGTTTTTGAGACGAAAAAAAATAAAAGTTTTGCCTTGACAATTGAAAAAAAGTGACAATGAGCCTGTGAATGTAAACAAAAATACGTCTTATTACTTTACAAAGCACTCAAATACGTATCATTTGCTCTGTACATTGAAAAAAAAAAAAAAAAAATCTGAAGAAATTACGTGTGTGCTGAAAAAAAAATACATGATAGTAATTGTTTGATCGAAATAAAAAAAATTTTAATTTTCTTACTAATGATCATTCACTACGTGTAAGTTAGGATGGATTCTGAGGTATTTTCCATTTTGAAAAAAAAAACAAAATTCACCCTCTAAAAAACCCCGAATAATTTCCGAGAAACAAAAGCTTACCAGACTATCGGATTCAAGTATCACGAGAAAAAAAAATTCATAATTGTATTCAAATGAAATTAAAAGTAATCGCAGTCTTAATAGGTTACATAAGTTATTAAAAAAAATAAATTGAAAATAAATGAAACAAGGAGATAAACCCTAAAAGTCTGAGCTTAAAATTGTATTAAAAAATAAATATCGGGTTACTGAACTCAAACGACGAATTCGTATTACGATGAAAAATAAATAGATAGGACAGATATGTTTTTGAATCTTACACCGATAATAACCGAATACTAATAAATGTTGTTTCAACTTTTTTTTTCTTAGGATACTGAAGATAACCAAAGCCAAGGTCTCCCAACTTGTGAATCAAATCACTGGTCAATGACCATACTGGCTGCCTGAAACACACATCGACTGTGATACAAAAGAAGCTCTTCCAAAAGACTGATGGACTGTGATACATGTAAATGTTTTTGTATTGTTTTTATACTATTATTTTAATGATGAACCTCGTTGAACTTTATTTAATGAAAAAGTTTTACGCCTAAAATTTTTTTTACTACTATAAAATTAGTGGAACCATCGAAACAATAAAAAAATATTTTTTATGAAATTAATTTTTCGTAAACTCATTTTCTCGCACACATTCTCTAGCAGTACTTTTGTTATTTTAATTATTTTCTTGCAACACATTTCCATATAAATTTCCACCAGATGAAATTTTGCATATTCAACGTCCACGCGCTCTTCGTAACAATTGTCACTTGGCTGTTTCTCTGGGCTCGCCTGCGCGCAACCGATCGGGTATAACTTATAAGCATATAAACAAGTGAAAACATGTTGAACTTTCCCAAAAAAAAAAAAAAAAAAAAAAAAAAAGCTGCCGGCTTCGTTCCCTGATTATACCTAAATTCGCCGTACACCTCGTCGTGCATGTAATTAATTATATACCTACCCATATGTTGTATCGATTAAAAGCCGCATCTCTAATCCAACCGCGTTATTCAATGTGTGCACGCGTATGTGTCTGTGTCAACTCTGGCGGGAGCTTATTTTTCAAGTCAAGCTGGTCAGTTCGTTCTCCCACAAATGAGGACCAACGCAATTAATTAAGCACCTTTGGCTGCTGCTGTGGCTTGTTTAGTCGTATATGTATATACCTATGCATATGCTGCTGCTGCTCCTCCTCTTTTTTCTCTGGTGCGTTTAATGGCTTGATTATAATCGTTGGGTGAAAAAAAAACGTGGGGAAGGGTAAATTCACGCGTACGAATTTATACGAGCTTGTTTTTTTTTTTTTTTTTTTTTTCTTTAATTGTTTCCAAGCGATTGATTTCGATCCACGCGATAAGATTTGTATATAATATAAACATGACATTGAAAAAATTTTCACTGCGATATTATGAATGAATTTCCTTTGAACAAACCTATTATGCCAAATAAAAAAACCACAACATTTTAGTTGGATTCGTACAAAAAAACATAAAAGACGGACAACTTTTTTCTATCCAAGCCAAAAAAAAGGCTGAATGATAAATATGTATAGTTTCATACTGCAGTCATGTGTAGAGAAAAACGATTTTACCAATAAGATTTTGTGTGACTGATAAAATATATATGTGCAGCGCATATTTTTTATTAAGTGCTTTTGTCCAATTAAAAAGTATTTTGTTGATATTTTAATCACTGTATGTATCATTTCAGGGTTATGCTACGGCTCCCCCACCAGATAATAGATATGGCGCACCACCAGTTGCCAGTTCTGGCTATGCGGATCCTTACGGCTACAAGGCACCAGCCGCAGGTACCAATTTTATTGAAGCATGTATTTCCGCAAGCAATTATAACTATTCAATGGAATTGTTATCATTGTATACATTTAACCATAATTTTTATGGACTTAAATTCTGATCAGTATTATGAAACCTTTTTTTCCACTATAGTTCCATAATATAAAATAATTTTGGTTATCATAAAGTATGCCATTAATTTGAATTTTGTTAAAATTTTATACTATTTATTTGTATTTGTATTGTAGAATTAAAAAGATTTTAAAAATGTTGATATTAATTCTAAAAAAATAAATATATTCAGCACCTTATCAACAAGAGGCAGTGGACAGCGGATATTATAATTATTCTTCAGCTTATGACTATCAAGGCCAGTCCGCTAATTACCCTCCTATGAGCTATGGAACGAATTAGTACGAATTCACTGCAGAATAACATGGTCAGTTTTTTGTTAGATTATTTATAATATTGTTGTTTTTGTTAATATTTTTTGTTGTAAGTTTAATCTTTTTGTTAAAACTAATAGCGCACTAGATTTGGTTATAGTTAATTGTAGAATTTTTTTATTTATTTGATTGTAACGCAGAAAAAATGCTTTTTGTTTGCACCTTTGGTAACTTCATTTTATTTATTTTTTTTTTCACTCTACCATCACATTGTTTTATCTAATTAAAAATGCTGTACTGCCTCTTGTTCATTAGAAAAATAATACTTATTCTGAATGATTTCTTGTTTTTGGCATCTTTCAAAGCAAAAGTACTAACAAGTTCCTCAATCCAGAAAAGATTGTCTATTACCGTTTTAAAAGCCTACCCCAACTCTATTATGATTAAGTCTTGAATGTTATTTACTTACTGTATATGTTAAGCAATTGAAAAAACAAAAAGCAAGTTACTGTCATTATAAGTTTTGAATAAACGGTATGGATGAACAAAAATAACAGTGGAAAAAACTATGATACATGACACAAGTCAAAATGATAAATAAGTTTCGAATGTTTTCCTAACAACTACCAATTTACATTGCATGACTTTACTACTACTGTTATTTTTTAGTAATGTAATATATTACTAGACGCATTGAATAATTGGACTTTTTCAATCGCAGATTATGCAGGCCACGAAGCTGTTTATGGAATCCAAGACTATGGTGAGTACCAATACTAAAACGGAGTTTAAGCCAATACAAACAAAAAATGCGATAAAAATCGTCGCGTTAATATCAATACTCCCATTATCGTCGTCCCAAGCAATCCTGTTCTGGTCTTATCTCTTATTTTTGAGTGAATGCCTTAAAACAAGCATTTAAATTGTAACCAGTAAATAGGCAGGATTGCTGAATATAGCATCGGTAATCTTGATAATCAAGATAGGTCTGCATCAGTTATACTGCAAATATTGAAAAAAATGTCATTTTTGAAGTCACGTGGATAAGAATTGCAAAGAAAAAACTTGGTATACACATTTTTTTAACGTGACTTTAAAATAATAATTAAATATTTAATTTGTATAAAAACCTAGATGTAATTTGAGTAATACTTTTGCCAATTTTTCGTACATTTTTTATCCGACTGTCAGTGTGGGTAAAAGTAACGTTGTATTACTTCAGAGGAGTGATACAATTCCACAAGTAAAATTGATACACAAGATAAAGTAAAAGGGTAAAAGATGCGTGTGCGATTATTTGAAACATCCATAACGAATTGTTAATAACTTCTTTTATATGTACATAATATAATCGTGTAACATTTTTAAGTTAATAACTACTGCATTGGAATGCTGTTTGAGCTCATACTAAGAATATTTTCTAAGAATTTGTTTGAAACAGGAAGTGGAGATTAAGAAAAATAAGTAAATGTGCAAGAGAAATCATGAATACTTACTGACGTTGAACCAGTACCGTCATCATAATCGTTAAACTTACAGTTACGAAATCCGATCTAAATTTTTTTACATACAAAGACTCATTTTTTCTTTCCTAGCATGTGAAAAATCAACTTCTCTTTAATTTTTAGTTAGTTCTATTTTAAACATTTTTAAATAATTGGTAGCATTTTTAGTTTGTGTACATCTAATGTCGAATTTTCAGAGTAAGTTATTTATGCTGCTTAAAAATTTTCATTTTCTCGTAGCGTCATCACGTGGAAACTTAAAAAAATTTTATCTACTTTTGGTGAAAGATACTCGTGCCTGTCTTATGATAATACAGCTTTTTGTACTTGTTTCGATTCAGTATCTATCAATTTGATTCCTTAAGAATTGAATGAATTTAATATGTATCTCGTGTCTCGTTCAACAGTGGTGGTCCACCTAGAGGTATGATGCGTGGTCGTGGAGGTCCGGGAATGAGGGGCGGACCGCCCATGAGAGGCAGAGGAGGTATGCCAAGTAGAGGACGTGGTGGACATTATGGGTAAGCTGACATATTTAAAATTTAATAGATTTTTTCTCAAATTTTCAATTATATAATTCAGTTCATTGGGTTTACAGTGCACCACCAGATGCGGGTGGCGTTGGAGGTTCTCCCTCTGGAGTACCCCGAGGTAGGGGAGGAGCAGGAGGTTTCAGAGGTAGAGGTCGAGGAGAGTATTCGAGTCGTGGAGGTGGAGGTTTCAGAGGTCGCGGTGGACTCGGTGGCGATAGACCGCGTGGTGGAAGGTAAACTAAACTCGATCTGTATGAAAAAAAAAAATTGTCTACAAAGATAACAGTATTGTATTACAATAATTTGATTATGTTCAGAGGAGGATCACGAATGCCAGGTGGTGGTCGAGGTGGCTTTGACCGTGGTGGTCGGGGTGGCGGTCGAGGTGGTCCCCAGAAGCGTGGTGGTGGTCCACCTGGTGCCGGTGGCCCACTCAAGAGGCCAAGGTTCGATGCCGGTCCTCCTGCACCACCTAGTAATGGTTACGTGTCGGCACCTCCAGCTCCAGGTTATGGCAGTGCTGGTAACGGTTATGCCCCAGCAGCACCACCTGCAAGTAACTACGGTGCAGGATATCCACAACAAGGCTATGCTCAGGGCTACCAGGGTTACGAAAGTTATCAACAGCCACCAGACTACGCACAGTCCGCGGTACTACAAATATTCAAAGCTATTCCCTTTTATGATCCATATACATTGAATCTAATTTATTTTCATCTGTCGTTGTATCTATGATTAATTTTTACTTTTAATATTTAATTGCAACTATTTCTTTCATGTACATTAGTATAAATGGCTTGACAGATTGTACAGTTGGTCTAAATTAAGTTCAATGCGTTTGCCACTTTCTGAAGAATAAAACTTTTTTGGATGANTTTTTTTTTTTTTTTTTTTTCTTTAATTGTTTCCAAGCGATTGATTTCGATCCACGCGATAAGCGATTGATATCGTAAAAAAAAAACACTCCTTCAGTAGATATAGGCGTTACCAAGATATACACGATTGTTTGAGACAAGTTTTTCAGCACAAATAAGTATATTGTATTAAATTGTTGGGGGAAAAAGAAACCAATTTTTTAAAAATAGCTTAAATCTACAACCAGAATGAGTTGGCGGTACAGTTGACTTGGTGACTTTAATTATTATTATAACGTTCGAAACTCGAACACTGAGTGAGTTTAAAAAAGAAAAAAACTTTGCTCTCCCGAACTTTGAAACAAACAAAATAAAAGAAAAAAGTACTCTTCGAATGAGTTCGAGAACGGCGAGGGTTCAAACCGTGCAAAATTCCAAGACCTGATGTCTCCATGGTTCACGTACTTATACGTACTATACACAAACATGTGTTTCCAGCGTGCATACATTATAATATCCGCAGTAACCACCAATGCAGCGCAATTGGGGAGCTCAATTTGAATTCGGGCCGGCGTACAGCTCTAAATTGCTCTTCCTAAATCAATCGAGTCGGAAAGTTCAGCCCTGGGGGGGTTTATCCGCTCCGCGTGCAGTTATCACGTGAAAATCCGCGTACAGCTCCGCAGTGACTATGTATAAATATACATACCTGTGGGTACGTATATAAGTTGGTCGCCCCGGCGTTTATCATAACCGTCGCGTTCGCGAATTGCCCGTCCCTATAACCGGTAGCAACTCTGGGGCGCATCCCTCCTATACTCCTCCTGTGTTGGCCTAATGCATGCCTCAAACGTCGCATATTATGGGACTCGCAAGAATTAGCGTACGGCGATGACGAGGGACGAGTTTATACAATATATAGTTTTACTAGGAGAATTAATCATATAGGTACTGATATTCTTTAGCGCGGAGATGAGTTGTCGCGCGTACGCATACGATGGTTTTAAAATTTTACCACCCCGAGTCATCGATACTCACTGCCAACTTGTCCTTTGGCTTGAAAAATATTCGCATCGTTTTCACAACGCAGGTAAGTATACACAACATTTTCGATTACCGGGCGGTTTTTCGATTCACACTCGTGCAAAAGTACCCGTTCAACCAACATTTGCGCGTCCGGCTTTTACCGCAGTTGGAACATTATAGATTTCTCTGTGTGAAATAACTGTCCAAAGTTGGCTAAGTAATTGGACCCCCCCTCGGCATCATCGCACACGCGTTCCCTCTGAATTCGCGATTCCGACAAATCGTGAACAGGCCACCCTCCCCCCCCCCCCTTAAGCTTCGAAAACACGGTAAATTATACGAAATTTCACAATTAAAACTCCTTTCTTCGGGACAATAAATGGGACGAATGAGCGAGATCACACGGTTTTTTTTTTTTAAATTACATCTTGAGGTCTCGCATCGTCCAAACCCACCGCCCGTATATATATCTATGAGGGAGCAGCGTGACGGAATTCAGGACGCGCGCTCGCGAGTAATAATAATTTTTTCTTTTTCTTTTTTTTTTTTTTTTTTCCGATCGGTGCCACATTTCTCTCCCCTTGGCGTGACTATTTCAATTAAACACGAGAGAGAGAGAGAGGCTGAAACTTTCCGAACGACGCGTCGCACGCGCCGGTTTTACCAAAGCGATCGGGACTAACGTCCGCCCCTTTATAAGTAAGTTTCTAGAAATAGATATTGGGTCTATGAGTATAGGTATACCGGTATATATGTATGGCGATGTTCGAGGTAAATGACTGATGTATGTGTACTCCTCGCCGCGGTGCGTGCGTTTTTCAATAAATTTATGCGCATCAAAAGTCGACGACTCCGTCCGTAATTGTGTGAGTCTCTTTTCGCTGCTCCGTAATTGTTTTTTTTTTTTCTTTTTTTTTCTTTTTCACGTGAAAAACAAAAAAAGGATAAAAACACATAAAACTCACTATATATTTATGTAGGGAAATTGTGAAAAAAATATATGATATACGTGTGCAATTTCACTTGGGGAACGCAAATGGTGTGGTTTTAATTTTTCATGGACAAATATGTATCCCAAACCCGTAGCACCGTTCCAAAGTCGAGAGAGACTCGCTGTCGCAATTAGGATTCAGCGCACCCTCGGCACACAGGGCCCGCGAAGAAAAAAACGAAAAAAAAAAAAAAAACCGCAGCTGCTCGAAACATATACATCCAATACATCTTCCGCTTCCGCTGTATAACTATATACATATACTATTTTCATCCCGCGTAAATAACGTGTATGAAAAAATAAAAAGAAATAAACCTGTGCAACCCCTCACCGCCGCTGATCACTTTGGCGCGTCTACCCTCGTATATTCCGCGTTGGGGGTCCTCTCTATTTTCAACCTCGCATTAAATTTCTCGCGGCTCATCGGCTCAGACGTCTCCGCTCCGAGGACACCTTCTTGCAAACGAATAGTCTTGTTCCATCCATGTATGCATGTATGTATATACAGTCTATGTATATACGCCTTCCTCGAGAAGAGGTAGGTATGTATACATATCGTAAACCCCGCAGCCACGCGAGCAAGTTGCACAATGCCGCTCATCAGGTGGAATCGGGTATAGGTATAGCCTCTCGTTTGTCATTCCACCGCGAATTCGGCTTAATGTCTCTCATTGTGTCGTGCACGCGCGGGAGCTGCGCGTCATCAACACACTCGCTGAGAGAGACGTCTCGGTGCGTCAACCATGAGACAGTCCCCAAAGTTTTGTCCCGTGTACCTACTTGGATACACTCTAATATTAGGGTATAACCACAGCATCAGTGCTTTTCCAATGAGTTTGTACATTGTGCTCGGGTCGATCGGCAAAATAACCCCCTACCGCCTGTTGCTGCTCCCCGATTTGTAAGGTCCGCGTATACATCTGATGCGCTGCACACGTGGACGACGTCGATTATGGCACGAAACATCAATCGGCAAAAGTGGCCAAGTCCTGGATCTCTCGGAGGATAAAGAGTAATCGGGCGTCACCGCGGGATGGGGTAAAAGGGCCTAAATAATTTTATAAACAGCACCGCCGATTGGACAAAGGTATAAGTAGATTTTTCATGCATCCGGTACATATGGATTTAACCGACAGCCAACTCTACGAATTGTCCAATTTGGTAAACAATATTACGTTTGGTCGTTTGACGGATAACAGGCCGGTTGTGAACCATTCCTATGCAAATATACACACCTTAAACTTTATACTGTGCTCAGATGATTTTTTTACATTATACGTACCTAAATGGCACAAGTGGCAAATGACAGTCGATGCGAACACACACACCCATATTCGTACAAATTGCCGCTCCGTTAACCAATATACAATTTTCCCTGCCCCACAAAACATCGGACATAGTTAGGCTCCTATCGTAAAATCGAGTGTTATACGATATCGTCTACGCAAAAAGTTCCCCAACAATTATACATTGTACGCATATTTTGTACCTTGGACTAAACACATCGGCCTCCTGTGTCGCTGATGAATCCAAATGTGGGCCTTGGCCGTTGCGGCGCCTCTCCGCAAAACCAACCACCTGCATATAGTTTGAACTAAAAATCACCGACAATACTTATTATATCACCGTAAAGGTGAGAGCTCGCCGCAACAAACGACAGTCTTGTCCCTGGGCGGTACTTGGCAATTGGATAAGATTTAATCAACGTAAAGAACCAGACACACCTCGGTTGCTCTTGTTTGTACAGAAACATGTGTACTTATGGTTGACTAAAAAAAAAAAAGAAAAAAAAAGAAATTATATTACACAGCAACAAAACCGAGCTGCTGTTGGTCTATTGTTTTTTCCTACCTTTTCAGCTCGCAGCCGGCAGAGACCAAGTGCAGTACACGGTATATATATATAATTGTGAAATCTAATCAAGGGAGTAAGCGCATACGTATATGTACGTATACCTATATAACCCGTGTGCAGCTAGTTTTGCGGGTGACGCGAGTCCGACAACCTCATGGCCGTATATAGCGTCCGCAGGACGAATCTCGCGGTCCGCGCGGGACACACGCGACCGATTAAACAACGCGCGCGAGCTTGCTTCTCGTGGCGTTTGCACAACTTTATGTATACTGCACATTGAATTTCCTTGTCCAACCCAAGGAGACAATTTAATGTAGCGATGTCAGAGGGCAACAAAAAATAGAGTATCACTCGCTTATATAATATAATATACACATGTATGTACAACTGTATATATAATATAAGTAATTAGGAAAATGCATGGGGGTAGATTAGCATTAATCCTATTAAGCCTGCAAGTGGGAGCCCCAAAAAGTGTACATGTACATGATTACGCCAACAACGCGATACCATCGGGACGCAAAAGCAAAAGTTCACCCTCATGTATACAATATCCCCCTTTTTCCACCCTAAAAACCATACAGGAGGATGGGGGGGGGGGTCTCTTTTGCACAAAAACCACGCGCACCACATTCGCTACCAGCGATACCTATCAGATAAACACGCTGCTCTTTACCGATGTATATATTATATACACCAAAGAGAGAAGTGCAGTGTTTGGGGAGTATTTGTACAGGTATACATACATTATTTTACACTCGGGTGGGAGAGGATCGCGCGCCGCGCAACGTGGTATAGCTGCGTGGGTGTAGCGCGTATACAGGCTGGCAGTTAACTCGCGACTCTCGCTGACTACGCTTCGCGGACTCTCCGAGCGTGCAGTATTACATTTATACCACACCAATATGTGCTAAAAAAGTTTGTGTATATAATATGTTGATATATCACACATTATGTGGGCTTATCATTTTTTTTTTTTCCCCCAACACGAATATATACACATAATTATA